CAGAGTCCCAGGAAAGAGGGAAGGTGAAGAGAACAACTTTGCGCCTGGGCAGCATGCCACGTGCGCAGGGGGGACTGTGCCACCCCTGGAAGCTGCCCCCACCCTGAGGCCCCATGGTGGGCCGGGCGCTATAGTCAGGCAGTCTTGACCCTGGAAGGCCCAGGGGGCCCATGGCAGCCCTCCCGAAGGGGAACAGGCGTGCACTGCTGGGCATGACTTAGCTGCCCCCCAGGGATAGGCCCAAGGCTCTGAGGGTGCGTGACTTGGTGGAGTCCTGTCCCTTTCACGGAAGAAAATGGACTTAAGCTATAGCTCGCTGGGAAGGAATCTGGAACTGAAGACCGATTTATTAAGAGTCCGTGTCCAATGATTAGGCAGGACCTACATAGAGGGAGAGAGAAACCAGTGTGAGAGAGATGGTGTGGAATGTTACGCTCAGTCAGTCACAAGAACCAAGAGCTGCGGCTGGCTGGCCTCCTCTGCCCATGGGACACAAGAAAACCAGGAGGCGGAGCTGCGCCCCTCCAGAGGGCGTTGAACACACCCACTTCCCCCAGAAAGCGTGCAGTGTTCAGACTTCTCTGGAACCTCCCTGAGCCTGTTTGTGATTCTAGACAGAACAACGGCTTCTGTAACGAGTTCCATATGCACCCTGCACAGCGCAATGCTGGCATTTCCTTTTATCAAAAATTCCTCTGAATTCTGAGAGGCGCCCCTGCCCTGCCCCCTCATTTTCTTCCTAGAAAACCAGCTCTGTGTGTACCCTACTGGAGCTGTCTCCAGCATGCTGTCCTAGTGCAGGGGTGGGCCATGTTAGAGGGGCCTAGGTGGGTGGGTCAAGTCAAGCCCCCTGTGGAGGGGAAACTCTAAAAGCAGGACCTCCAGCTGAGGGAGGGAAAGACTAGAGGTTGGTCCCAGTACTTCTCCAGAGTTCCAAGCTCAAGAGGAAGAGCTGGTCTGCAGTGTTGTTGAGAAGAAAAGGAAGAAGTCATCAGAGAGGAGAGCTGCAGCATGTGGGTGTCATCCAGTGGCTGCCCTTGCAGTTGGTCTAGAGAGTCACTGATTGACTTCAGCCATCTCTTGTTCTCAGATCTTGTGAAGGCAAAAGCAACCTTAGGTTGGCCTTCCTCTCTGGCATTTTCAGAGACTGGAGCCAGACCCCTGAGTTCCAGAATTGTGTTTGTTCAATTAATTCTCCAGGTACCACCCCACCCACCCACCCTGTGTATGTGTGGTCAATCATTTCCCCAACCTGTGGAAAAGCAGGCAGGCCCAGGCTGGGCTGGGAACAGCTCCTCAGACCCAGGCAGGAGGCAGAGGCAGCTTGTCTGGTGAGAGTGCCAGTGGCCCCTATCTGCACTTAAGCCTAGATGTTTCCAAAACATCAAGCATTCCTTTTTCCCCTGGAGCTATTAAGAAACACCCACATACTCCAGGCCTGGGAAAAGGAAACCAGAAGACGAAAATAGCTAAGTGCAAGCTGCTGTAAAAGTAAAGTGAGCCAGTCCCAGAGACTGGAGCCTTCAGGCCCTCAATTCCTCCCACAGGTGCCCTCAGCTTCCAACAGGGCTCAGGCTGTGTGTCTCTTCCCAGAGTTTCAGGAACAGGACAAGGTCAAAGCTCAAAAGAGTCCTAAAGACACCTCAGGTCTGAAGCCCTGGTGATAGCTACCAGGTTCTACATAACCCCTCCATATTCATTCTTATAACAAGCTCTCTAAGTGAACCCAGGTTCAGTGGAGGACAATGTCAGAAGACGTAGTGCAGCAAGGGACAAGGAGGGTCTGCTGTCCCCTCCAGTGCCTCTGCCTTGGATTCCCATGGAGATCCACATTCGGGTTCTGCGTTGGCAGAACCAACTCTTTTGCAAGTGACAGAAGTGGGTGCATTTAAAACCCCAGCTGTCCAAAGAGCAGCACAGGAAAAAGGAAAAAAAGACCACCTTCCACTCTCCTGGGCAGGATTACCCATAACCCACCACAGAAAGTAGGGCTGCTGGCTCCTAGACCTGGAATCCACTTGTGTTCTCTCTGAACCACTTGCCTAAGAGGTTCAGGAAGCCACAGCCAGCTGGCACACGGTCTGGGCAACAGTGACGGGACCTCCAGCAACTGAGTGGTCTGGCACGAACACATGAACATGGCCCCCACAGATGCTGAGCTCACGAGTGGACGTGGCTGAGAGAGGGGGAGGACAAAGAACCTCAGCCAGTGCCGGGCGGGAGGGGCTGGCTGAGGCGGCAAGTGGTGGAAGCCTGGGAGCTGGCGGCACAGAGACTGTAAATCTCGCCTCTTTCCCGCCAGGACAGCTGTTCCCAGGACTCTCAGATTACCAGTTGCACAATCTTGCCCCATTTTAAAGAGGGGGAAAGTGGAAAAAATGAAGTGGGGGAATCTCAGTGGGCGAGCACTGGAGACGCATCACAGTCATCTATTATAGGTGTGTTGTGTGTGTGTTATGGTGAAGGGGGGGTCCTTGTTCCCGGGATTCCCACCTAAGCACTGCACCATGGAGGGCGTGTGGCTGGGGGCAATGTCAGCTGTGGGTCCAACGGAGAAAGGTAGTAGAAACCCTTGCAGAAGCTGTCTACAAAAAACACAAGAGGGTTCCAGCAAAAGCAGCCAGCTATGGCTGGGCTGCTCTTGACATAGAAAATGCTAAAGACATCCAAGAAAACAGCCCTTCACTACAGGAGGGCGCAGGCCTTCTCTAGGGTACAAGGGCAAGGCAGTCCTAGGGCCACAGACAAAATCCACAAGAGATCTGATGGGAGTGGAAATGGCAGTCTGGTCCACAGAGTGGGCAGTTTTTGTCAAGCAGGCACTCAATAAATACGGGACGGACTGACTGAATTTTATCTCCCTGAAGCCCATCAAGCATAAGATGACCCAGGGTAGGTGACTTTACTGCAGAGGGGAAAGAGGGTGACTGTAACATCTAACCTGGGCACACCTCCTGCATCCCCCACCCCAATTCACACACCACCTCCCTCACACTGCCACCTAGACCAGCATCATGCTGCAAGAGGTGACGCCAATGCCCTTGTGACACTCATATCAAGAGATTTACTCCTAAGTAGGTTTACCACCTGCCTGTTCGCTTTACTTCCAGGAAGTCTGAGCTGTGTGAGCTCACGAAGCAGTTTTGCCCACACCAAGCTGACTGTCCACTACCCCTTCTCCTGGCCTGTCTTGAATGTATAGCGAAGAAAATGCAAGTCAGGAGGCCAGGCCTTCATTATATTTCCAGAATCTCTCTTGGATTTGTTCAACTTCATAAGCTGCTCACGAGTGGGCTCTCAACTCGGCAGAACCCACAGAATGGCCACGGGAGGTGCAGGGCACCAGTGTTCACGAGCGCAGAGTGCAAGCAGTCGAGATGGCTGTGAACCCTGGGGTGGAACAGTACCCCCTGTGTTCACGCCACTCAGGACTGTGGTTTTAGAACACTGCAGGGATGCAGAGTACCCACTGCGGCAAATGGCAAGGCAGTCATGCATTTAAACCTGCTCACCTGCAGCCCATGGGGTCCCCTTCCCGATCCAGGCCTTTGAATACCCAGCCCAGGCAGAAATTGAGGGAGAACAGGGCCAGCTGCTAGAAAGGGAAACTCCCACCCCCACTTCCACCCCACTGAAAAGGTCAACACAGTGGGTGGACAGGCATACAAAGGGCTCTGCAGGTCAAAGAGGGATTTCACACACAAGCTGACTGACCTGTCTCGGAGTCTTCGCTGTCAGAGGAGCTGGACTCGCTGGTGCTCTCTGACTCAGAAGAGGAGAAGCCTTTCATCTTAGAGGAGCCAGCAATCACATCCACCTTCTCTGCTGCAATTGAAGCACAGGGCTTCTGACATGGGTATCTTGATAATCCCAGATATCCAGAAGATGATGGATGGAGTCTTAGATTCTACCTGGCCCTACTTTCCCCACAGGTGAACTAAACCCCCAAAATAGCACAATTATCTCTCTGTAGAACATGGTGAGACTTGGAAGACAGGCACAGAGAGGGCCACTTCCTTCCCTTGGTGCTTGACATTGAGACAAAGCAAGGGAGGAAAGTACCTGTGGTCCTCCCAGGGGACAACTGTGTGCTGTGCTGCACTTGCCCAAACTAGGGCAAGTCTGAGTCCAGAGACAGCCTGGGCTGCAATAGCAGTTGTGCCCTGTGAACCCTAGCATGGAGGATAGGCATTTAAGACAACTTCAGTTAGCCAGGGTAGGGGAGAACAATACAGAGCCAGCCACATTAGAAGTGACCAACAAGTGGGCTCAAGTTTGAACTAACCTACAGTGCACTGTCCTTTGGACAGCACAGATACTACTCTCCTCTTGGCTGTGCCCTGGAAGCCCAAAAGAGGGAAGGGGAAAGCATGAGTAAAGACAGCCCTGAGGCAAGGCCCGGAGGGTATGGACAGGCCATAGCTAGTGTCACTAGGGGATTCCAGATGGTGCAACAAATGGAATCATCCAGACAAGCACGCCCAGGAAACACTGGACACCGACAGGTCTACAAGGGGGAGGGAAGCTGGACCCAACCAAGTACCTTGGGGCTTCCTCTTCTTGCGCAGGCAAGAGGTGACATAGCGCTCCAACTCTCGCAGTGTGGATGGCTTCAGGGTCTCAAAGTCAATTTCGATCTCATCAGGATTGGAGTTCTTGAGTGAAGGCTCACGGGACTGGATGATGTGCACCACACGGCCCAACTTCTCACCGGGTAGCTTGTTGATATCCAGGCTCAGCTGCCGCTTCTCCTCATACGACATGGGTTTGCAACGGTCTTCTTCTTCTGACTCATATGCTGGAGGTGGCTTGCTCTTCACAGGTGCTGGTTCCTTCTTGCTGCAACACGACAACACAGATTTAACTAGACCAAGTCTGCACACCCCACCAGGGTGGCTAATACAGATGAGCTGGGCTCCAGAGTCAGGGGAGATGGCTGACTCCACCAAGTGGTGTGCTCCCAGTCCCCCCTAAGACCCTAAGAACCACTTCTCCAGTCCTGGCTGTGGTCACTGTGCTTTGACGCTTTGTTAAACACAGCCAAGCCCAAAAGGCTCATAGGAGAGCATACAAGCAGGGCCACTAGACCTACATGTGACAATGATTCCCAAGAAAAGTGGGGCCCCCATTATACCACCAGTGGGAGGCACAGACCTGGCATTGTTGTTGTTGCTATTGTTTTTCTTGGTCTTCTTGGGAGGGAGCTCCTTGGCTTTGCTCTTCTTGGTCTCTTCCACGTCTTCTTTCTTTTTGTGCTTCTCTTTCTTCTTTTCCTTTTTGTCTTTCTCCTTTTTCTTTGGCTTGTTCTGCTGTGGCTGTGAAAGGGCTGCTAACTGCTCATGCACGGCTTTGAGCTGTGAAAAGATCAATAGTCACAACTGGGACGTGCTCAGTGTTCAGAGTGAGGTGCTTATACCCACCCCAAGCCCCAGGAAGTAGCCAACAAGGGATCAAGTCTAATCCAACCTGGTCCAGGAACAGAGTTCTACATAGTTGAGCAGAAGGCAGACAAGCAGTCTTATCACACTCTGGCCCTGCTACCTGTTTTCACGGGGTAGGAGGACTCAGAAATCTCTTCCTTCTGCTCAAAGAAGGTGGCCCCTACACCAACGGTGCACAGGAGGATCAGGAATGCAATGCTGAGGAGAGCACCCGGCGCCAGTGGCCTGAGGCAGCTCACCTGCTCCTGAAGCTCTGCCAGACGCTGGGCTCGCTCCTCCTCTGAGTCGTCAGTGGAGCTGTCACTGTCAGAGGAGCTATCGCTGCTGCTGTCGCTGGAAGAGGGTGGGGCTGTCACTTTAGCTGGTGGAGGCACAGCTGGGGAAGAGACAGTCACCACAGGTTCCTCGGGCTCATCTGGCATCTTGGCAAAGCGCATTTCAAACACGTCCTGGGGTAAAAAGAGCCATGCCCATGAGAAGTGCAGCCCAATGGCATAATGCCGAGAAAGTTCCCTGAAAGCTTGCTTTGAGGGGGAAAGGACTCCTGCAGTGGCTGTGCCCCTTTCCTTGGGAAAACACCAGTGCCTGACTGTCTGTACTAACATGAGGTAGTGCCTGAGACACCAAGGCTAACAGAGCAGGAGAAAGCGCATCTGTTCCTGAGTAGTATGCCCCTGTGTACCCATGGAGGTGCCTGGCAGAGTGTGAAGCTTAGCAAGAAGGCCAAGGCCTACAGGAGTGCTCATGTCTGCATGTGACTCCACAAGTCCTATGTAAAAGCACAGGGTGTCTCCTAGGCAAGAAGGACCCAAGAGTCAGGTGGAAGCAGGCGGAGCCCAGGACCATCAAACTAGCAAAGACTCATGTGGTAGAGAAAATGGGCTGCCTAAGACTGGGAACCCAGTGGAGCCAAGTTAGGAGCACAGTAAAGCAGACAGAACAGATGCTTTTGAGAGCAGCTTTTGAGGAGTGGAGCAACACTCATGATATTTCAAGAAGTGTCTCCCCTCTCCCTAGCACCACCATTGCTCCTTTTCAGGGTCTCTCAGCATATAGCCTTAAGGTGGCGGGGTAAAGGGCAGCCGGAACTTTGTCCTAGCTGTTTTTACTTATTACATTCTGGAAGGCAAAGATGTTCACCAGGAATAAGAGACCACTAAATGCCCAGGCTGTTAAATCTAGAGAGAAGGGGCTCATATCAGCAGCAGAACACAGCCATGGGCAGAGGAGCAAATGAGCGGAGACAGAGCTGGTGAGGTGCCAAGAGGTTCTGCTGTCAAGAGACAAGGACAAGTCAGGGGACTTCAGATGGACATCGTCTCAAGATTTTAGGGACGGAGGAGGTGGTGATAGACAGTCAAGGCTTCTGAGAAAATGACCACTCTTCTCCTGAGCCAGAGAGTGAGCTGTCTCTATGTTAACCCCTGCCAACAGAAAGAGGATACATTTCTTTACCAGACAGAATACGTCTGAAGGGGGCCATCCCAGCTCTCTCAGGTTCTAAGGCCAAAGAATAATGGGCATAAGTTGGGGCTTAAAGTCTGAGGCAGGAAAGATGCAGAAGGGGTGAAGAGAGGCCCACATGGGGCAGATGGCGCCTTCCTGGCCTTGCTCAGCCATAGGGCCTGTCCTACACTGTGTAGGCCAGAGAATTCTCCAGACCCTGTGCCAGGGAGCCTCGGGCTGCTGCAGCAAAATATTCTTCGATGGTCATTGACGTAAGCATGTGCCTGCACTCTGCTAGGGATCTCAGAATGATTATGTCCCCTGACCCTAGAAAAATCACAACAAAGTGGAGAGAGGAAACAAAGACCTACCCGGTATTGTAATTCAAGGGCTGATGGGACAACCAGGGTAAGCTGGACCTTGAAGGGCCCTCCTCTTGCAGAGTGGCTTAGTAAGCAGGATCTTGTGGAGAGTTTTAAAGAACAAAGAGGATGTAGCATGGGGACCAGACATTTGATTTAGCTCTAAATTTAGAATGAAGATACTGTGGTCAAGAAACCAAGGACAAGAACAGTCAGTAGATACCAATACTTGCACAGAATATAAAGGGAATGAACCATGCTCTCTTGGAGTGGCTTCAAAACTAGATTATCATGCCAACCTATATCATGCATCCTGTAACCACTATCTCCTCTGTATAAAAATGTACATTACAATATGCTCCTCAACAAACCTAAATGTGAACAAGTCACTGCTTGAATGTGAATTAGAGTCACTCACCCTGGCTGTGCCAAGGAAAAGAAGATGCTTAAAGGCCAAAAGGCCATAGTATTAAAAAAAGTACAAGACTACTAGGAAAACTGGCTTCCCAGCCACCTCCCCTACAATCTCCTGATAGCTATCGTGCTTGACCAGATACCAGAGCTGGGTAGAGAGGTGGATAAGCACACAGCTGTGAATGGAAGATGTGTGTAGATACTTAAGGACACAAAGTCACATATGGCTACACACTCAAATCACTTAGGCACAAATAAATGTGTACAGTGTGTCAAATGCACACTCAGACATACACACATACACAGGGATGGCACTGGGCCTCCACCTTGCCCTGAAGGCTGTCTACACAGTGGTGATGCTAGAAACCACACAGGGAAAGAAAAGGGGGGGCTGAGGGGAAAGACAACAGCAAACAAAAACACAACCAAAAACGATCCCAGAAACATAGAACGACACTGGCTTTCCCTAGAAGGCTAGTATAAACAATGAGTGCCTTTGGATGTTAACTAAAAGAATGGGGGTTTAACCACACGTGCCTTCCACCACTTGTCTGTCAGTTTGTTATACCGTGATGGCTTGTGTGCTGCTGTGATGCTGGAAATAACGCGACTGATATATTTCAGCAGGGTCATCCACGGTGGAAAGATTTCAGAAGTTTCTAGACCAAGAAAAAGAGTAGCACTCACTTTTGAAGTAAGATTTTTGAAAATTCTTATGACCAACACAAGACTGTTGGAGGGAGTGCCGGGACATGAGCCCTGAAGGTTGGAAGGCACTCAAATTCATCTGGGAAACAGCTGCCCCCTCAAAGTCTACCAAAATGATGTGGATGGTGTAAAGCCTTCAGCCAATGAAGTTCATCTGCTGATGAACTTCATTTACTTCAAGACTCAAAATGAAGAGAAATACCTACAAACATCCACAAAGAAGTGGACCAGGAGATATAAATCTAAAAAAAAATAGAAGCTATAAAAAATGAAATGGAATACATAATAAAGACTTATCCTAGAGGAGCTCAGATGGACTGGTACTGACACCATTCTCAATCAATCACATACTATCAAAATGGGTATTTCAAAAATACTGAAATATAATGCTGTGAGGGATAGGCTACTATCCACATGCATACAACTTGTTAGCAAAATCATTATTCAAATATATATACCATCCACAAAAGTCACAGATGAATTGAGGATTTCTACCAACCTTTGCGGTCAATATGCAACCAAGATGCATTAGTAACTGACTGGAATGCAAAAGCTGGAAACAAAGAAGAACTTGTAGTTGGAAAATATGGCCTTGAGAAAGAAATGAGGCTGCGAATGGTATGAGGGAATTTTACCCAATGCAAAGACTTTTTAAAAAAATCCAACAGGGAGCTCTGGTGGCCTAGTGACAAGAAGCTGCACTGCAATCCCAGAGGCATACAGTTCAAATCCACCAGATGCTCTACTGGAAAAGGAGGGACAATCTCCTCCTATACCAGTCAGATCCGATTTGACGGTACACGCACACAAAATAATAAAAAAAAATAATCCAACAAAACATCTATGGTGACTATGGACATGGACTTCACCTGATGGGACCACAAAGGAAACAGACTAACTACACTTGTGGAAAAAGATGCTGGAGAAGCTCAATAGTAGCAGTCAAACTAGGCAAGGGGCTGATTATGGATGAGACAGACTATCTCATATGGAAGTTCAACCTAAAGATAAAGAAAAGGAGGGGAGGTCTGTAAGAACCAAAATATGACCTAGTCTTTATCCCAACTTATTTAAAAACCATCTTAAGAGTGTATATGAGACACTGAACACTCACGATAGAACACCAAGAAGTTGTGGAATAACATCCAGGATACTATCCATGAACAAAGTTAAAGGGCATGACAAACATATGGGGATGGCGTGGGGACGGGCAGACCAGAACTGATATTAGATGAGACTCAAAAGTGCCCTGGAACAAAAGGAAGATAAAACAAGGGCAAAGAATGTTGACTCCGAGAGAGCTGAACAGATTTCAAAAGGGCAGGTTCAAGAAGACAAAACAAAGTAATATAACAAATTGTGAAAAGAACAAGAGTCCGAAAACCAAAAGGGAAGAACACACTTGGCATTTCTCAAGCTGTAAGAATTGAATGAAGTCGGTTCGAAGCCACCAGATGCTCTGCCGGGGAAGGAGGGACAATCTCAGATCAGATTTGACGGTACACTCACACAAAAATAAAATAAAAATTTAAAAAAAAAAAGAATTGAATGAAGAATACATTCAAACCTCCAGTTAAAATACTGGTGGGTTCTGTAAACAAAATCTTGAATGACGCAGGAAGCATCAAAAGATTAAAGAATACAAAGTCACTGCACTAAAAAGTCAATACCATATCATTTCAATATGAAGCACCTACAGAAAAAGTCTTTCCCTAGATCTAGCATCCTAACACTTTCTGTCTCCTCAACGGTGATAACATGTGTTTGTAAAAGCAAAAAAAAAAAAAGAAAGAAAAAAAGAACTAAGAGTACTCAAGGAAGAAGTATAAGCTGTACCAACGGCAAAAGAATCAGGGCCCAGGAATTGATGGAATACCATTTGAGTTATTTCAGGAAACAGATGCAACCCTGGACATGCTCACCAGTGAGCCAATATGGAGATAGTCCAAAGAGTATGGAAGACAGCTACCTGTCCAACTGACTGCACAAGATTTCTATTTGTTCCTAATCCAAAAATAATGATCCAACAGGATGTGGAAATTATCAAACAATTGTCATTAATAGATCACGCAAGTAAAATCGCTGACTGTTATTTAAAAAACCACTGGGCCAAGTATATTGGCAGAGAACGGTCAGAAATTCAAGCTCGGGAAGAGGCACAAAGATTATTATCACTGCTGATGTTAGGTAGATCTTAGTTGCAAGCAGAGAATACCTGAAAGATGTGTATTTGTGTTTCATTGATTATGCAAAGGCATTTCACTCTGTGGATCACAACAAATTAATACTAACATTCAGAACAGGAAACCCACAACACCTAATTGTGCTCATGTGAAATCCATACGTAGTGAAAGAATTTGTCGTCTGAACAGAAGAAGGGAATATATGGCATGGTTTAAAACCAGGAAAGGTGTGCCATCAGGGTTATATTCTTTTCTCCATACTTATTCCATCTGTCTGCAGAGCAAATTGAGAAGCTGGACTATACGAAGATGAATGTGGCATCAGGATTAGAGAAGATGCATCAACAACTTGCATTATGCAGATGATACAACTGTGCTTTCAGAAAGTAAAAGTTGGGCTACCTATTGCAGCAGATCAAATACAACAGCATTCAATATGAGTTACATCTCAACATAAAGAAAACAAAAAGCCTTACCACTGGACCAAAAGGCAGCATGATAGATGGAGAAAAGACTGAAGTTGTCCAGGATTTCTTCACCTTACTTGAATCTACAATCAACACCCATGGTGGTAGCAGTCAAGAAATCAAAAGACATGTTGCAGTGGGGAAATCTGTGGTCAAGGACCTCTCCAGAGTGCTAAAAAGCAAGGATGTGAGTTTAGAGTAAGGTAAGCCATGGTGTTTTCAATTGCTTCTTAGGGATCTGAAAGCTGGACAATGAATAAGGAAGACCAAAGAAGAATCAGTACTTTTGAATTCTGGTATTGGTGAAGAATACTGAGTACCTCCTGGACTGTCAAGGGAACAAGGAAATGTGTCTTAAGAAAATGCAACCAGAGTGCTCCTTAGAGGCAAGAATGGTGAAACTCTGTTTATACTGACTTTGAGTATATTCTCAAGAGGAACTGAAGCATGGAGAAAGATCATGCTGGGAAAAGTGCAAGGTCAGAGAAAGAGAGGACGACTCTCAACAAAATGGACTGACACAGTGACTACCACAATGGGCCTGAAGAGGACAGAGGTCACGAGGATGGTGCAGGGTAAGGCTGCTGTGTGTCGCAGCGGACCTGATGTCACCTAACAACATGGTGTCTTAGAAGAAAAATCACCACTAACAACCCTACTAAGTACAATTTTCAGTCTAAACACACACAGCAGATGGCAAATGGGTTTTTCACACACACCCCCAATAACGGGAAGTCAAAAGGAGTCCCTCTGAACCATCTGTGTCATGAGGGCAAGTAACACTATGAACTGTCATGTCTGAATTAATGAATGAGTCTCCAGCAGGTTTTCAGGGGCTGTAAGTCACAGAGAAGACTGTCTATCTTTCTTCCCTAGAGCAGCTGGTAAGTCTGAACCACGTGTTTTGGGGTTAGTAGCACAGCTCCTTACACACTAGGCCAGCAGAGCTCACTAGGGCAAATATAGATCACCTTTCGGGGAGGGGACGTAGTGGTCCTTCTATGATGTGGTGTGGTGTGGTCCAGTCCACTGTCTCCGCCCACACCTTTAACCTCTCATGTCTGTCCAGCCTGGCATATGACATCAGCACCTAAAAACAAACTCCGCAGGCTAGGAGGAAGAGGAGGTGGCGGCAACCCATTGAGAACCTCCAATATCCTATACCAGAACAAAAATTGGGGGTGTGGGGAAAGTCTGAAAATGAACAAACAAAACCAAGAAATCTTGATAGAAGTGAAGGCTGTAGGGGGGGGATAAGTTGTGGAGAGGTTTCAAAAGCCAGGAACAGGGGGGAGGGGGGAGGGGTTTGTGTGGGGAGAAGGGTGCAACAATGAATGAATGGAATCCCAAAATCTCTGTAGATGTTCATTGAAATGAAAAATAAACAACCTAAATTAAAAAAAAAAAAAAAGCCAGGAACACTATACTAGAGGGTGCTTTTCCCTTTCAATAAGGTAGCTAGCTCAAAAGAGAAACGATGGTAAAGAACTTGCTTCAGTTTTCTGTGTTCATGAAGGCAAGTAAAAGGAATGCATGAAAAGCTCCCTCTCTGTTGCAATTCCGCAGGCACTGCTGCCACCTGGTGACCATTTACAAAACTTGCAGGAAAATGGCACCAAGAGAACAGGAAGCACAGCGCTTTTATGAAGGCAGGCAAAGAAACTAAAAGTGTCCTCCTCAGCCTGTTCCCTACCCCCTAAGAGAGAGAAAAGGAAACTAAACTGAGCCGGCAGAATGCCCTCCAGTCTCCGAGGTGGCACTCCAAAGGTCCAGAAGTGAGAGCCTGCAGAGCTCACCCTAGGGAGTGAAAGCCCAAGTCCTCAGACCAACTGCTGGATTGGGATATACAGACCCCCTGGCTCTGAGAGGTGGTGGTACAGGGATGGTGAGCCTCAACACAGTGGAGATACTGGTTAGCCTAGTTGATGACATAGTTCTACAGTGGCCATCAGCTTCAGAAGCGTTCCTTTTCTGTGCTGGAGGAACTTCATAGGTCATGCGGGAGCATGAGGGCAGCAGGCACTGCCAGTCCCACTCTGAACTTGGGACAGAAGCAAGCCTTAAGGAAGCGAGGCCAGACTTCCATTATCCTACAGTATCATTTTAAAGAATGCAATATATAAAAGAATTACAGGAATACCGAATATTTACTTTATCGTCATCAGATGCTGCTAGAGAGCCGACTCTTAAGTCACAGTGATCCTATGCACAACGAAAACAAAAACCTGTGCCATCCTCACACACTCTGCTGTGCCTGGACCCACTGCTGCAGTCACGGAAGGCCTTCCTGCCTCCCACCGACCCCCCACTTTTCCCAGCATGGTAAGAACTGACAAAGTGTCTGAGGAGCACCCTGGCTGTACTTCTTTTGACTCTATTCCCAGGACAGTTAGTTGGTATGTTTGTGTTCCCCAAGCAGCATGTCTAACAACAAAGGAAAGGTCCCAGTGGAACTTCCCGTAACTGTGACCAAGGGGCTACACAGCAAGTCAGAACACTAAATTGAAACAAAACTTTTAAAAGAAAATCTTTGATCATGCACAACACAATTCTCTAATACAAGGACAGTGGGACCAAAGAGGAGGATCTCTAGAATAAGCAATATACACACCCACGAACAGCAGTGGAACAAACCAATTCCTGAAAGCTTCCAGATTCTGGTACCGCTAGCTGATAATTCTACTTTATCCCAAGTTGAGGCTACTCTTCCAAAGTGGCTAAGGCAAATGGCAAAAATAAAGCCTGCTAAGGGGTCCCAGGTTGGCCCCACCCCGAACCTCACCTGGAGCTTCCTCGCCATGGCCACCACCTCGTGGTCAGGAGGGTTGTACTTGTAGCAGTTGGAGAACATCAATCGGACGTCGGCACCAAATTCCTGAGCGTCGCGGTACTCGCGAGCCTCCAGTTTAGACTGGGAAGACAGGATCGGGCCTGTTAGCTGTGTATGCCTGTCCCAGGAGCAGTGGCAGCAGTGATGGCTGCCTAGAGGAGCAAATAAGCTTCTCGGGTCACCCAAGACCTAACGTGGAAAACTGTCATCCCAGTTTTTGGTAACAGACTAAAATGGACACATTCAACAGTCAAGCCCCAGGCCTGGGAACCTGTGACCCAAACTCACCCAGTCAAGAAGGAGGTGGTGCCTAGGTCAGTACTAACTAGGAACGGGAAGGTCAAGTCCCATTCTGATCCAGGCAGATCTGAGACATGACACTGGTCAAAGAAAACCACACTATCTGCTGTGACATGAACTCTTCTGGAAAGTCTCAGGCAGCATTCAGTTCTCATCCAAGACACTGCCATGGTCTAGTTTAGTTCTAAGAATATGGCAATAGTACCAACCCTGGACACTGTCCCCGAAGAGGAAGATTTCAAGGGTCATCTTCCTGACACAGGGCAAGGAGCAACACCACCAGCTTTTACTCTCCTAAAATGGTCACTGTATGTAAGGTCTGCTTACAGCTGTTCCTCCTCCTTTGCTGGGCCCAACCAGTGAGGGCTGGCTGGGCTTTGCCATAACTCGAATCTCCCAAATGCATTGTCTGGAAGCACACTCCTCCCGCACCCTCCCCAACAGGGGGCGCTGGGCTCCTTCAAGCAGGTAAAGAAGCTAGGGAAGCTCCTCAGGCAGAGGTCCTCAGGCCAGGCCCCTCTTCCAGCCTGGGGGAAGCCCCACCTTAATTGTGCTCATGTCCATGGGATGCTTGATAATGTCGCAATAGTCATGCAGGCCCAGCGCCTCCACATCCACAGGTTTGTAGAAGGGCCAAGCGTAGGCCGCATGCTTCTTGGCAAACATTTCCTTAAGGATGCCGCTGCAACATTTGAGCTACTCTGAGACCTTGCTGCTCTTGTCAGGTGCTGGATGCTGCTGGGAGTCAGGGACATCCTTCTTCGGAGGCTTCACAGGTCGCCCACTCTCCCGCCTTGGGCCCAGCTTGGTGACCTTGGGCTCAGGGGGCAGTGAGGGTGGCTCGTGGATAGGATCAATGGTGGTAGGGGTGGTGGTGTCTGCTTTCCTCTTCACCCCCTTCTTTGTCTGCAGAGAAAAGAGATGCACCTGGGTCAACTGCTGCAAAGCTGCCCCTCATAGTACTCCCAATCTGTGACTGAGATCCTGATTCTCTTGACACAAGCTGAGAACAGGAGCCTGCCCCCCACCACATTGCTCTGTCAATGGGACAGAGCCAACATTGGCATGCACAGCACTGCATCATGAGCCCCGGGAAGCCATTTTCTGTTTAGCAGTGAAGACTTTTTGGTCCAGCCCTGCTGCCTGGCTCACTGGCTACCCCAGAGGCTGCTCAAACAGCCACTATGGACATTGTTCCAGTAACAGGAAGAAACCCTGACTTGTGATGTGGACTCGTCAGCCAAGCAGCTGCGCTCAGGCTACACTTATGTAAAAACAGTTGGTCCCCCAAAGCACCCCTGGCACAACCATGAGTCCCAGAGTAGTGCTCACCTTCACAGGCTGCGGGGTGGTTGCAATGATGGGCGGGTGATTTTGCACGGGCTGGGGGGTTGGTGTAGGAGGGGGAGGAGGCTGGGATTGCACTGGCGGGGGTGCCTGTAGGGGCTGAGGTGGCACCACTGTCATGACAGGGGCCTGGACGATGAGGTCTGGGGTGACAGCAGGGAAAGGATGAGGCGCAGACTGCACAGGCGGTGGGTTCTGCTGAGGGGCCTGGGTGTGTGGCGGCGTTAATGTTGGCGCTGTGTTTGGTACCGTGGAGACACCAGGCTTTGCTGTCCCTGAGAATAAAGAAAGGGAGAGAAGTGAGGAGCTTCTTGCCAGCTTCCCAAGACACACCCATGCTAGAGATTGAGAGCCCACAGGAGCTCTTTATTTTTTTTTATTTATTTTTCACTGTTCCCTATCTCACCCTGAATGCACTCCTTTTTCCAGATTATTCTCATACAATGCTTAATCATATATGTCTTTCAAACAGTTCTTCCCCTCATTTATTCTAATGCCTCAGCAACCCTAGAACCACACACCTGGGTTAACTCTAGCACGAGGGAGCAGAGTTAAGTGTCACATGTCTGTCAAGGTCTATGCTTCCAGGGTATCCTGCCACAGGGCCTGGCTTGAGCAGAGACTCTTCAGAGCATACAGAGGCCTGACTGAGGGCATATAACTGGCACCAGAGATGATGCTGAGAGCAGAAAAGGTGTCCTCAAGAGCTCTCAGCAATGCTGTCCTGGTTCCCAGAAGCACTAACTTCAAAGTACCCAGTGAAAGTTGGTAGTGGCTGTCAATATCAAGGCTTCTGGAAAATGGGTGTTCCCATCTCAGATCCCAAGGTATGCTAGATGGCTGCTGCCCTCAGTAACTAGTACAAGTTCCAAAGCTAACAGGTGAGCCTGAGCATCAATGGCCACTAGGTGTGCCCAACCAGCTCCTACCCCCAGGACTGCGGCTATGCCATAAACAGAGAAATGTTTGCCAGCCAACAGGAAAACGAAGCTAGTCCCATACTCAAGCACCCAGCTGTGTCCAATGTTCTAGGAAAGCAAATGACCCTTTAGATCCAAGAACAAGGTATGAGGGCTCTTCCAATGGATTTGAGTTGTCAGGCAATGTGCACAGAGACAGAGCAGAAGAGCCACAACATGGCCATTCTGACAAGACATCTAGTCAGTCCCAGGGAGAGGACTGATTCCTGCTAAAACAAAAGCCTTGTTTCACTTGCCATTCCTGTAGCCTATGTCCCCCCAGGCCCAGCTACAGAAGAGCTTGTGAGCCCAGCACAGAGGTGAAGCTAGAAAGGAATAGTCTGGGTGAACATGTAAGCCACATCTTGGCCTCCTTGTGCAAACTCTACCCCTCTACAAAGAGTGTGCATCATGAACTGGAGAAGGTAACCAGGAAGGACTTTCCTGCACCAAAACAGTTTTATTTCATGAGCTACGTTGGGAACCCTGTGAGAAGGTAGAGTCAGAGACAGGCTTCAGAATTGAGCAGGCATGACTCTGATACAAGCGCAGGCAGCATTTGAAAAGGCTAGGATCAGCTAGCATGTGAATGGAAATTACTTCTGGTCAGAATAATGTCTTTTTTTCCTACAATGGAAAAGCAAAGACCATCTCTAATTATTGTGTTAATAATTCAAATTTAAAAGATGCTTTGAAATAGGTCTGCTTCTATTTTAACTCATGTTCACTAATATGCCTCAAAACCAAATATTTAAAAAAAAAACCAAAAAAAAACCCCAACCAAAAAACCCCTCTCAAAACCAACAAAGCTCCCAGTCAATTCTACATCATGGTGACCCTGTGAACGTCAGAGTAAACTCTGTGCTTCCCAGGGTTTTCAATGGCTGATTTTTATAAAGTGGATCACCAGGTCTTTCTTTCAAGGTGCCTCTGGGTGGAATCAAACCTCCAAATAGAGCACCTTCACTGTCTGCAATACCCTGGAATCCATTCCCAACAGTCCTTCAATGGTCTCAGAACCAAACTCACTGTTCACTAAGCCATTTGTGACTCAACAAGTGGCCCTTGTAGGATGGAGAAAACTGTTCCGAGGGGTTTCCTAGGCTATTACTCTTTTTTTTTTTTGCTATTACTCTTTAAAAAATCAACTTGCTTCATCTTACTTCCTCGGAGCAGATGGTGGATTTGCGCTGCCACCTTTTTGATCAGCAGCTCAAACACTAAGTCTACTGCACCACCAGGTCTGCTTGCCTTAAAGAGCCTCAATGTTTCTACTAAGGGAGATGTTCCCCGGTCAGGGACTCAACAAAGCAAGCATACTACACTAAGACAATGCTGCACTGTCGGAATGGTACACTGGCAGTCAGTAAATTGTGGCTGCCTCTTGACCACTCCTAGCCCCAATCAAATCTGGGAAATAAACAAAGGTGGGGTAAAAACACAGCAAACTCTGTTCCTACCTGCTTCCTTCCTTCCTCGGCCTCGTCCCTTTGCCTGAACGATCAGGATCTCCGTCTCTTCAGTAGGCAATTCATTGATTTTTTGCAAGAAGAGCTTCTCCAGAGCTTCAGCCATTAAGACAATGTCATCTCCAGGCTAGATAGGAAACAAGAGGGTGAACTGGAGAGTTTCTTCACTTCTCCACGCTGCCTCAAAGCACCAGACCTCGTTTCTGGGAGGTCACTTCCGGATCTGAAATCCCAGAACCAAAAGGCTCCCCTCCCCTCCTTTGGGTGTGAGTCAGCGCTAGGCCCCCACACCTCCCACTCCAGTCTTTTGTTCTAATCTGTCCAGGGAAACCATCTTAATTGCCTCACCTGGCAAATTCTTTAGTCCCTGGGAGGACCTCCCTTGCTATCCAGTCTACTCCTGGTATTAGATACACTCTTACCAACCTATTGAACTCCAACCCCAGCAGGCCCAACAATGGCACACTGGGTCTTCCCAGGCTGCCCACTATGCCACTGTGGTTCTGACACATTGCCCCAAAAGGATCTCATCCATGCAAGCACCGTGTGAGCCTCATGGTATAATCAAAAACTTTTTAGAAAATACAGGAAGCTTGGAGAAACTCACCTACCCATCTCTTCTGGGCCACTCTACCACTACATCAGCAGAGGTCAAAAGCTGAGTTCTGTCTGGGGTCTGCCTCCAGAGTCGCTCTATTCAGAAGGGTGAGTTTTAATCATGTCTGTGGTCTCACCATGAACAGCCAAGCCATGGGTGTGGCTATGGGACTGAGGACTGGCTTTTGGGTCTACACTTAAGGTCCAAGACAATCTAATCAAAGGCTAGGTGCTGGGAGAGACGCTTGATTATGGAGCCCTTGGCCCAATGGCTCTTGGTCTCTCAAAGAGCTCCACTGGGACCAGCTCTGCATAGCTTGGTCCTAAGCAGGCCCCTGACTGTTCACTCAAGTGGATACTGTAATGAGCTGTTGTCGTTGTCCTAACAGATTCTCCAAGGTCATCAGAATTTATATTAGTCATCACTATATTAGGTCATCACTAATTTTTATTAGTAAGGGCAGCCTGGGCAGCCAGTCACCCCACTAAAGACACATAAACACATTTATATTGGTAAGGGCAGTTTGGCCAGCCAGCCACCCGATTTCAGAGAAAGAGAGAGAGATAAACACACAAACACACGCGTAACAGGAACAATCACAGCCTAGAACCTTCAGACTTGGCCTTATCTGCTCCTTACTCCTACCCCTGCCCACTCTCTGTACATACCTGGCCCAAAAAAGCTTACCTTGTTGTAGATGTAACAGTTTGTAAACATTGTGTTGAAGTCCTGAATACATTCCTGAGCATTCCAGTAATAGTTGTTTTCCAAGCGCTTCTTGATCGTCCCCATGTCCATGGGAGTCTTGATAATCTTGTAGTAATCCTGGGGGCAGAAAAGAGCCATGTGTCAGGGTGCCCTTAGGCACACATATAGGCCAGGTAACCTGTATCACCAGGCTGTGTCACAGGGCTAAGCTTGCCTACATTCTCAGCCAGGGACTCCAAAGGAGATCCCAAAGCCAATGTGACCTAAGTACGCTCCCCAACGGCTAAAGGGTCTTTGAAGGGACATGTTCACATTCCCAAAAGAAAGAGAAGCCCTTTACTAAGTTATGATTTAAAAATAAATAAAGTGAAAAACCATTAAAACAGCCTTTCACTTTAAGGAAATGATAGAGAAATCATAAAGTCTTTAAAGTCAGTTCTTAACTGATAAAACCACCTTTGGTAGGTCCTATTCCACATTCACAACATTTTGGAATTTATGCACTCATAAATTGCAATAGTACAGAGCCAAGGTTTGAGGCCACAGGTAGTCCTTGCTGACCACCTCACTGAGGCATCATGGGGAGGACCCTCTCAGGGTCTCAGCTTCTGCCAATCCATTCCCTCTTGTTCTTGCCCTGCTGCTCTGCCCCTCTGGAGCTGTGACGTGCATCGAGCACACCAGGGCAACCAGACTTCAACCACTGCACCCTTATAATCTTCCTGAGGCTACTGATGGCCCCAAAGGCCAACAGTATAGTCAGGCCATCCCCTCATCTCTGACCTTCTGTAGCTTCTAAGGCTGAAATCTGTCTTTAGGGGACTGTAAGTCCCTAAAGTTCCCTCAGTTCCTCTTCTCCCATTTGTTGTGCCTGCTCTGGACAACAATGTGTATACCATGGATTCTCTGGAAGATGAGTTAGGCTAATTCTCATAGTTAATATAAGAGAAGCTGCAGACCCTGGAACTGAGGGGACCCTTTCCTTGTCCTAATAACCTAAAGCTCCTAGGTGGCTGTCACAGACACAGGAGGGTCCACTGAGTGGTCACCAGAGGCTAACACCACCCACATATGTACTCATGGCACATTCAGCCCCAGTTCTGACCAAGAGCCACCACATACACACCCCTTGCTCTACTTTTAGAATACCCAGGGGGCTGTATGGAGCCTGGAAACAGCAGAGGAGAGGATTAGAACAATTAAAGAAGGGGTAGGGGAGAATGAAAGCATTGATTCTATCTACTTCCCAAGGGTAAGTGGCAGACACAAGTCGTGCTTCCATTAACTGTCTGCTGGGACGTAGAAAATAGAAACCTTGAGAGAGGGAGAGGACGGCTTTAGAGACTGGATCACCCTATCATGCATTAACAGCTTGTGCCTGACCAGGAAGAGACCAGGGCTGCCAGGAACTCTAATTCTAGCCTACCACAGAACCAGACAGGAATCCCGAGTTTGTCATGTACCCATACATCGTAACAATTAGTTGTAATTGTGGCGTCAGCTCATCAGAATAATGGAAGCTATCCTGAGGAGCCCCACCCCATCCTTATGGTCTTCCTCAGCAGGGCTGCAGGAGGCCTGACTTCAATACTCACAGGGAGGTTGAGCTTGACAGCATCCACGGGCTGTTGAAAAGGCCACGCGAACTGGTGTCTCCATAGTGTCTTGAGCACCACTTTGAGCAGGTATTGCAGCTGGTTGGTCTGCCTCTTGGGCTTGTTGGGGTTGGAGGTCTCGGGAGGTGGGGGGTTGGCGCTGGCTGCGGCAGCTGGCTGGGGCTGGGCCTGGGCCTGCGGCGTGGACATCTGGGTGGTTTCTAGTCCATCCCCCATCACGGGCAGATTCCTCAATCTTGTCCCAGGGCCGCTCTCCGCAGACATGCTACCGATCCCATCACATTCTCCACTGGGAACTCTGCAGGGAGAGAAGACTGCATCAGAACAGGGTCACTCAAGCCCTAGCCCAACTGCAACTGTCACGGTGGGGACGGAATGAGCCCCAATGTGTTTTTGTCAGCTGGCACCTGGGTTTAGAGAAGCCAGTTCTTCCCTTCTAGTTATTTCTCACCAGATTTGTCACCCAAGCAAAAAGGAGACACATCCACGTGGAGAAGGATATTGCTGCAGGTTGTGTGGAGCCCACAGGGACCCTGAGTGTAAACCATACGCCACTCTCATGTCTTTACACTGGGACACTGCTTGTGTGTCTGAGAGCCTCAACTGAATACAGTGCTAACACTGTTCCTGTGTGAATTTGTGAGTCTGGACCACAGAACTGCAATGGCCATGGGCTAACCACCTTATAGCTGACTCTTCAGTGGGTTTTCAAAAGCAGTAAAGTGCAAAGGAGTTGACTGCCTATCTTTCTCCCAAGGAACAAGTGATGGATTTGAACTGTGTACCTTTGTATTGGTAGTGCAATTCCTTACCATCAAGCCATTAGAGCTCTCCAACCATGGGCTGGGCCACACAGTATTGACCTAGTTGTCTACAATACCATGTGGGCTGAGAGAATATCCAAGTAAAAACCAATTCTGCATGTTTGCTATTTCTAAAAACTCAACAAAGAAACCGGTTTATAATCAGCTGGTAAAAGCCTGATCATATATAGACACTCTACTCTCAGTCAACCCTCCATGCAGAACCTCTGTCTGTGTGTACCCGTCAGCAGGGGCAGATGTGTTCCACTGCCATATGGCCCCCAGCCGCACACAGTCCACTCTCAGCAGGAGTAACAGGTCATATTGTCATTAGCAAAAGTACCTGCCAGGAGCAATAAATTCATCTCAGTAGTAAAGAAATGTGGTAAGCTGAGCGTGCCCTTAATCTGAGTAACAAACCCAGGAACTTAGTCTTTGTTCTTGTTGACCACTTGGACACACTCTTTAGTGCAGTGTCTTCAAGGTTTTTACTCTGTTCTTGACTGGATTATTGTTATATACCATGGAATCCCCTGTGACTCACAGAGACGAGACCCTATGTACAACAGCTCTAAAGATTCCCTTGTCCTGAGCCAATCTCACTGACTCCGACACACCCCCTCCTTGCCTCAGTTACTGTATGACCATCTCACCCAGGGTCATCCTCTCCTGCACTATTCCTCTATACTTCCAAGCATGATGTCCTTCCTCCAAGGACTGGTCTCTCCTGACCACGTACCAAAAGTATGTGAGACAGAGCTTTAAAATCCTAACCTGCAAGGAGAAACTTGGTTTCATCCTCTCCAAGACAAATCTGTTTTTCTTGGTAGTCCATGGTATATTCAAGCCTCTTCTCCAACACCACAATTCGAAGGTATCGATCCTTCTTCTGTCATCCTTAGTCACTGTCAAACTTTCTAAGGCATAGCAAGTGATTGCAAAGATCATGGCCTGGATTAAGTGCACCTTAGTCTCTAGAATGACATCACTGCTTTGCAGGATTCTATAGGTCCCTGACAGCAGATTTTCCCAATGCAAACTTTTGATTTTCTGACTGTTTGTGCCAAGAGTGTTGACTGTGGAGCCAAGCAAGCTGTAATAGTTAACTTGACTGGATTATTTGATTTTAATTGCACAATGAATGCTGCCTGGTCCACAAGCTGGGGCTTTAGCAAATATTTAGTATTTCCAAAGACTGTCATGCCCATAACAAATAGGAATAGAAATTGCAGCATAGTCTCTGCCGCTGCTGCTGCTAGTGCAGGAAGTGGCCATGGGGCATCCCAACGTGCATCCTTGTTGACACAGGCAAGGTCTATGGGGACTGAAGCCAAGTTGCCATCTGTGTTTCTCCACAGCCAGGCCTGGAAGACTGAGTTTGGCCTTGCCTCACACCAAAACAGATGCTAGTCCACTCAATCAGAGCTGATAGCGACCCGTGTTCTCACAAATAGACAATGACTACTTCCTTGTCTTTGAATGTCCCCTGTACAATCATTGGGGACAATAAAAGTTCTTCCAGTAAATAAAGAGAAAGGAATGGAAGATCTACCCTTTGACAAAACACTGACTTACAGCACGTCTCTTCCAGCCCTGGGAACACTCCTGCTGTAAAACTGTTGTACAGACGAATGACATCTTTAATAGAGACCCTAGGAAACTCATTCACCTGATCCCCAGAAAGCAGCTGATCTCTGTGTCCATGGTAAACAGCCCCAGCTAACGGCAATCTGTATCGTAAGAAGCTTGGAATGACTTCCATCTGACACTCAAGTTGCTGGTGAGAAAAGTACAGCATCTGCAGAAATCACTGTCTAGAACTGTGTCTCTGGAAGTGTGCATAAACCTGCCTAATCCTCTTTCAAGAAGCAATTCAGCTCTGCACCATGTCTTGAACCAGCAGCCCAAGGCAGAGGTAAGTAGGCCATCCTACAGTGGAGATGTGACAAACACAAGTACTCAGTCCCCCACTTGAGAGGACACAGGATGACAAAGACCCAGACATTCAGATACCCTGTAGCCCAAACAAGGTAAGTCTGGGCAGTTTAAACCCTGCCTATCAGAATCTTGGTTTACTTGCTTCAGGAATAAATCAAGGAGTTCGACCCATAAACAACCCTAAGAACACCACATAAGAACCCTGCTACGCCATCCTCACACTTCTTGACACAATAGAGCCCCCTGCAACAGTCACCTTGTCAATCCACCTGGTCAAGGGTCTTCCTTCCTCTCCTTCTACCTTTCCAATCATGTCCCTCTCCAAAGAGCAGTCCTCCTAGCAACATGCCCCAAGTATATGAGGCAAAGACGCATCTTTGTCTACAAAGAGCGCTCTGGCTGTATACCCTCTCAAAGACATTTACTTGTTCTTCTGAAAGTCCATGGGATATTCAGTACTTCAGATACATAGCAAGTGACCAAAAAGACTATGCATGCCTGAATCATATACAACTTAGTACTTGGACTGAAATCATTAACACGTTGCCGCAAATGACGACGTAAGTGTTTCTAAGCATGGTCATCAATTTAAAAGTGTGCAGCAACTTGCTAATCAGTAATTTGGAGAAGTTTCAGACTGCAGACTTTGCCAGTGCAATATGTCTCCAGATTTTCTGATTGCTGATACCAAAGTTGTGGATCCAAGTAAGATGAAATTGTTAACTGTTTCAACCACCTCTCTACCAAGATGTTGCCCATCAGTCCAGAAAAGAATATTTGTTTACAAGTCCTCACGTCTAGCAAGCAAGGTTGTGTCATAATGCAATTGTTCGATGAACTTCTCTCTGATCCTGATGCCATATTCCTCTTCAGAGTCCAGCTTCTCAAATAATTTGCTCAGCATACAGACTGCATAGGTGTTCCCTTGCTCTGTTCACACAGCAGCACCCTGGTCAAGGAATAGGTTCTGCATGAGCACAATTAAGCACTCTGGGACTCCCCATTCTTCTCAATGTCAGTCACTACTTGTTATGGTCTACACAGTCAAATACCTTTGCACAGTCAATAAAGAATAGTAAGACATCCTTCTAGTATTATTTACTTTTGGCTAAGATCGATCTGATGTCAGCAATGATATCCCTAGTGCCACAGCCTCTTCTAAATCCTGCTTGAACTTCTGGCAGTTTTCTATCTATGTACTACTCTAGTCATTTATAAATGATCTTCAGCACTAATTGGATTACATGTGATATTAATACTGTTTGATAGTCTCCATGATATTATTTGATAAGTCTCTCAACTCTTGGGTCATCTTTCTTGGGAATAGGAACAAATATGGGCCTCTTCCAATCTGTTGGACCAGACAGTTGTCCTCCAAATATCCTGACACGAACTGGTAAGCACATCCAGGGCTCAATCTGTAATTGAAACAAGTCAATTGGTATCTCATTGATTCCTGGGGTCTTATTTTTTTTACCAATGGAGCTTCCACTTTCTCTCTTACTATTGGCTCGTGCTCATATGGTACTACCTGAAATTTTCCAATGTTGCTCATCTCTTCTTGGTACAGGAATTCTGTGTATTCCCCCCATCATCTGATGCTTTCTGAGTCATCCAATGTATTTCCTATATGTTGTTGTTGTAGTTGCTTGCGACTCACAGCGACCCTATGTACAAGAGCTCTAAATGCTCTTCTATCCTGTGCCAACCTAGCCATCTCAAACGCACTTATTCCCACCTCCCTAGTCAGAATCGATCCATCTCATCAAAGGTCTTCCTCTCCTTCCCCGCCCCTCCACTCTGCCAAACATGATGTCCCTCTCCAAGGACCAGTCCCTCCTTGCAACATGCCTAAAATATGGATCAGGCACCTGGATCAGGCGCACCTTAGTCTCCAGTCTGACATCGTTGCTCTTCAGTACTCGAGAGGTCCCTCACAGCCAACTTTTCCCAATGCAATTCATCTCTTGATTTCCTGGCTGCTGTTACCAAGAGTGTTGATTGTGGAGCCAAGTAAAATAAAACTGTTAACTATCTCAATCTCTTCACCATCCACACTGATGCTGCCAATTGTCCCAGTGGTTAGAATCTTTGTTTTCTTGATGTTGAGCTTCAGTCCATATAGGAGGCTGTAGTCCTTGATCTTCTGCAGCAAGTGCTTCAGGTCCTCTTCAGTTTCAGCAAGCAGGGTTGTGTCATCTGCATAACGCAGGTTGTTGATGATTCTTCCACCAATCCTGATGCCACATTCCTCTTCGTATAGCCCAGTGTCTCAGATGATCTGTTCTGCATACAGATTGAAAAGGTATGGAGACAGAATACATCCCTGACGAACCTCTTTGCTCTGTTCTGACAACTGCCTCTTGGTTGGAGTATAAGTTTCGCATTAGCACAATCAAATGCTCTGGGATTCCCATTCTTCTCAGAGTCTGCCACAGCTTATTGTGATCCACAGTCAAAAGCCTTTGCATAGTTAATGAAGCACAGATAGACATTCTTCTGGTATTCTTTTGCTTTTTGCTA